GACTGTATACCTTGTACATGTACTTGTAGAAATAAAGATATTATTATTTCTATTATTATTATTATCATTTATTATAAAACATCGGGTATGTGTATTTCAATATAAGTAAGACTTTTCTTATACGCGGTTGGAGAAGCTCTTTAAGTAGGTCGGTGTCATTAAAGTAATGGATTTTCTTACGACCTCTGGTAAGTATTACCTTCGTGGAATTTTAGTTTGATAAATGATGAATTGTTATTATCGTCGGTTATTAAACTGTTTACAACCCCGTTCTCGCTTACTGGTGTTGGGGAGACTTGGCTAAATATATTCCTGGCCCCTTTTCGTCTGTTTTAATGATCCAGAGTAAAGTTTACCCTTGCCTTGATGCCTCGCCCTCTTTCCTACCATTTCTCCCTTCCTCGCTCCCTCCGTGCCTTTCTTCTATACCCTCTCACAACCCTTTCTCCATCCAAACCAAACTTTCTTCATTCCTTCCCTACAGTATAGCATAGTACAGCACATTACAGTATGTACAGAAAATACCCCTTGGGGTGAGTCTTGAAGTGGGGATAGTCGAAGAATAGGTTCTGATCGAACATTAAAATGGTATAAAATACCGACAGGTTGTTAGGTAAGACACATATGCAACAGTTAGGTATCTTTATTATGAAACGTTTCGCCTACACAGTAGGCTTCTTCAGTCAAGTACAGAAAAGTTGATAGAAGCAGAAGATACTTGAAGACGATGTAATCAGTCCATCACCCTTAAAGTTTTGAGGTGGTCAGTCCCTCAGTCTGGAGAAGAGCATTGTTCCATAGTATGAAACAATATTGTTTCATACTATGGAACAATGCTCTTCTCCAGACTGAGGGACTGACCACCTCAAAACTTTAAGGGTGATGGACTGATTACATCGTCTTCAAGTATCTTCTGCTTCTATCAACTTTTCTGTACTTGACTGAAGAAGCCTACTGTGTAGGCGAAACGTTTCATAATAAAGATACCTAACTGTTGCATATGTGTCTTACCTAACAGGTTCTGATCGAAGACGCTGCAGTCGAAGGGACAGAGCCAGGGCTTAACCCAGCTGCTGAGCGAACGGGGATGTGTTGATTACCAGCAGAAAGATGGGTAAAACAGGCAGGTGCAAGAGTTCAGCGTGCTGTTGTGAAGGTGAGCTGTGTCTTTATGGTGGACTGGCGGTGGCTGACCCAGTCTTGAGTTTCTTGGACACTTCTTTTGGTAGGTAGGTGAGGATGGCGTAGTTGTCTTGGTCGTGGATGAAGCGCCTCACAAATTCTTGGGCTAGGTTGGGTGTAAAGATGTATGAGACAGTAGAGGCGTATTTCAGTTCTGTTACAGAGTCTAGCGTGCAGTTCCTTGGGGAACATGGAACTTCTATTTCGTTATGTCGGCCATAGTCCATTCGTGCCGGTTTTTAATGAGATTTTTCAAGTAGCTCGCTGATTAGCTGGTAATATCAATTTCTTCGCTCTCAGAATCGGAGATGAACTATTTCAAAGTTTTGGTCTTGTAATACCTTAAGAGTCGATGTAGTGACGATCTTGCCAGCCTCATCGTCGCTAAAGGAGTCGACGGTGGAGGCGTTCTTAGTCGTCATCAGGTTCGACAGTTCGCCCTGCAGTGTCCTTCATGATGCCGACAAGAGTCCTCTTCGTCAGGTATGAGACCCGTCTTGATATAATTATAACATGAAAATGTAGGTAACTTGTATTGTCGCTGTGTAACTATCATACTGAACAATGCAGCAGCACAATGGGCATGTATACCACTTTGCTAAATATAACAAAGAAACCTACACCACAAAGTGGGCAAGGTTTCGGCAAGCCTCCCCAGCTGCAGGTGGGCGTGCGTGCAGACGCTGGACCGCGCCCATGCAGGCGCTGGACCACTCCCCCTCCTCTGTGGCGACAGTCGCTGAGCACCAGTACTGTCTTGAAAGTCACAGTAAACTTTAAAGGGGGCTGGCCTTGGTGGACCTTGTGGACCTTGTGGGCCTTGTGGACCTTGTGGACCTGGGGCCTATGGGGACAGGGAGACGAAGGAGAACCTGGGGGATCGAAGTCTAGGAGAATTAAGAGATCTGGTACCTGGCATTTTCTAAGAGAATTATGAGACCTACCTGGCAGTGTCTAGAACTATGAGACCTGGTACGTAACTATGAGACATGGTACCTAACTCGTGTCCCCAACTGTTGAGAGAGAGAATTATTCACACAGACTTTACTTCCTGACCACATACGGTTGAGATGTAGAGGATGACGTCTCTGTGTGTCCACAACCACAATATCTTGGGACCTTAAGACAAATAAATAATTTATAGTCTTCCAACAGCTTCGAGTACAATGGGGAAAAGAAAGTATGTAATTGTTCTTACAAATTCTCGTATCATGACCAACAAGGGAAAGTTATCTGTAGCATCATCTATGTTTCTCAAGAGCTGTGTGTGTGTGTGTGTGTGTGTGTGTGTGTGTGTGTGTGTGTGTGTGTGTGTGTGTGCTCACCTAGTTGTACTCACCTAGTTGAGGTTGCAGGGGTCGAGTCTGAGCTCCTGGCCCCACCTCTTCACTGGTCGCTACTAGGTCACTCTCCCTGAACCGTGAGCTTTATCATACCTCTGCTTAAAGCTATGTATGGATCCTGCCTCCACTACATCGCTTCCCAAACTATTCCACTTACTGACTACTCTGTGGCTGAAAAAATACTTCCTAACATCCCTGTGATTCATCTGTGTCTTCAACTTCCAACTGTGTCCCCTTTTTTTTTTTTTTTTTTTTTTTATTCGCCGGTATTCTCCCGGCCCGGGTCTTTTCCAAGTAGTGGTGACCCGGCCTTGGCTCCCTATCAAGGGAGTGTCGAGACTTAAGTCTCCCATGGGAGGAGGCACAAGTACCTCCTCATCTTTGGGACCAAGTGTCCCCAGGCCTAGCCACATTCCCCGCCCTCACGGGGCTCGTAGGGAGAAGCTAGGCCTCTGGTCTGCCATCTACCCCGCCTCGAAGGGGCTCGTGGGGATGGCAGTCTTATGTGTGTCCCCTTGTTACTGTGTCCAATCTCTGGAACATCCTGTCTTTGTCCACCTTGTCAATTCCTCTCAGTATTTTGTATGTCGTTATCATGTCCCCACTATCTCTCCTGTCCTCCAGTGTCGTCAGGTTGATTTCCCTTAACCTCTCCTCGTAGGACATACCTCTTAACCCTGGGACTAGTCTTGTTGCAAACCTTTGCATTTTCTCTAGTTTCTAGTTTCGTGTATGTGTGTGTGTGTATGTGTGTGTGTATGTGTGTGTGTGCATGTGTGTGTGTGTGTATGTGTGTGTATGTGTGTGTGTATGTGTGTGTGTGCCATCCAAATTTTATAGAAAAATAATGCCTTTTATTTCCATAGATAAACATTACCTCAGTAATACCTCTTTTTATTGGCAGATTTTTTTTCAGCAGTTTAGATGGCTTTACGAGTGTTTTAATAAATGCCGCGTGCTAGCTTGTAGTAAGTAAATGTGATGAAAGATTTGTCAGAGCTTGGCACTGATGTTGCTTACACCAGAAGATAGACCCTTGGTGTGTGCATTATGCTGTGAACGGGGCTTCACGGTGTGCATTATGCTGTAGACGGAGCTTCAAGGTGAGCATTATGCTGTGGATGGGGCTCCAGGGCGTACATTATGCTGTAGACGCGGCTTCAGGGTGTGCATTATGCTGTGGCTGGGGTTTCAGGACGTGCATTATGTTGTGGATGGGGCATCAGGGCGGACATTAAGCTAATAAACCAAGGTACAGGTGGGGTTTGAACTCGCGGCGAGTGAGTGGTAAAACTCCAGACAGACAAGTTAGCCGTTGGGCGAGAGATTCATTTGCAAAATCTTGCATTTTTGGTCACAGTGGTGCCTATGCTAACCTTCCTATAATGTATAAATGTACCTAGTTGGGTGAATCTTATTGTAGCCAGCTGGCCTAGTGGCTAACGCCACGGTTTGGAATTTTACGACTCACTTGCATCGAGTTCAATCCCCGCCTGTACCGTGGTTTGTTTGCAATCGTGTTATTACGATTTCGTGAGTACATTATGCTGTGGACGGGGTTTTAGGGTACACATTATGCTTTGGACGGGGTTTCAGGGTACACATTATGCTGTGGACGGGGTTTCAGGGTACACATTATGCTGTGGACGGGGTTTCAGGGTACACATTATGCTGTGGACGGGGTTTCAGGGTACACATTATGCTGTGGACGGGGTTTCAGGGTACACATTATGCTTTGGACGGGGTTTTCAGGGTACACATTATGCTGTGGACGGGGTTTCAGGGTACACATTATGCTATGGACGGGGTTTCAGGGTACACATTATGCTTTTTATGGGGTTTCAAGGTGTATATTATGCTGTGGATGGGGTTTCATGGCGTATATTATGCTGTGGATGGGGCTTTAGGGCATACATTATGCTGTGAATGGGGTTTCATGGTGCACATTATGTTGTGGACAGGGCTTCAGGGCATACATTATGCTGTGGACAGGGCTTCAGGGCATACATTATGCTGTGGACAGAGCTTCAGGGCATATATTTTGCTGTGGATGGGGCTTCACGGCGTATTTTATCCTGTGGACGGGACTTCAGGGCATACATTATGCTGTTGACGGGGTTTTAGGGCATACATTATGCTGTGGACGGGGCTTCATGGTGTACATTAAGCTGTGGAAGGGGATTCAGGGCATACATTATGCTGTGGACGGGGCTTCGGGGCATACATTATGCTGTGGACGGGGCCTCTGGTGGCTGTGCTTATCCTCAGAGAACAAAGGGATCGTGACTTTTAAACATTACATTTAGGGTCATTTATTTGTACTGGGACTGAACTAGGACTCTAGTAAGGGTGCTTTTTCTATGCAGAGTGTGCATGACGTAGTCCTAAGGATCTGCTCTGCGATACTATTGTTTCTACAAGGTGCAGGTGCCGTATCTTGTGCTGTAGCAATGTGTCGTGTGTGGTGTCACTCACGGCGTAGATATCGCAGGTATGACTGGGCAGTATGCGGCGGTGGGTGGCGCAGTGGCCGTACGTTCACTCTTAGTGATCGCTGGTTACTGAAGCTCTCTGGCACTGTGCCTCCCTCTACCCCCCCCCCCTTCCATGTTGCTCGTGCTTCTGGCAGAGCCGTCACCTTGTTGCCGCTCCTGTACGAGAGATTCTGTGCCTAATCAAACAACACACACACACACGCCAGGAGCTTGGACTCGACCCCTGCAACCTCAACTAGGTGAGCACACACACACACACACACACACACACACACCAAAGAAGTGGGACCAGAGGCTTAGGCTCGATCTCTGTAACAACATATAGGTAGCACACACACACAGAACTAAGGGACCCATGGTGGTGATAGCAATTATACAACCCACCCCTAAACAGCAGGAGACCAAGAGAGGAGTAAGATGACAAAAACATTGTGATATGATAGAGAAGGTAGCCAGAAGAACCCGAAAGGGCAGTGTAAAGCTAGTGACAATGGAAGACTTCAACCATAAGAAAATATGTCGAAAATGGCACAAAATACTGACAAGTTGATAAGACGCACATGCAACAGTTGTGTATTTTATTGCTGAAACTTTTCGCCTACACGACAGGCTTCTTCAGTCGATTACAAAGGAGACAGCCGGAGCAGCAAAGATGAGAAGACGATGTAATCAGTCCGTCACTCTATATGACAATTTTGAAGTGATTTTACTCATAAGAAAATAGATTGAGAAAGTCCAGAGTCACATAGAGAACCAGACATGTGGAGAGCCAAGTTGTTGGCAGATGGAGACTTTATGTCAGTATGTTAGGAACACAACTACAGAGAGAGAGAGCAAAGGTAACGAACCAGCGAGGTTGGACCTTGTGTTCATCCTAAATGACTCTGATGTAGGGGACATTGAATATGAGTGGTCGTCCCTCGGTGCTAGTGACCACACAGTGCTGAGGCTGATTTCCCTGTGGAAGAGAATGAGGAGAATACAGAGCGTGATGGGACAAAGGAGACTATACAGGTGTGAAGCAGTTCTTAAGTGGAGTGCCACTGGAATAGGAGCTAGATGGAAAGACAGTGAACGAAAGGAGTGCCAGGAGGCCGAGGAGAAGTTCCTACCCAGAAGCAGAAACATAGGCAAAAACAGAGCCCAAAGTTCACTCAAAGGTGCAGCGAGGTAAAAGATAAAAGTGCAAGAACGTGGAGGAAATATAAAGGTGCGCAGAAAAGCCAGAAATCAATATGCATCAGAAGCTGAATGACAATTTAAGAATGACACGGAATCCAAAGGCAAATTTGAGCAAAGTTACTTGGTATTAAGGCTGAAGAAGGAAGGAAGGAAGGAAGCTCATTAGGAGTGACCAGGAAGTCTGTGACCAAGTGAACAAAAGAGTTATGGAACATTGTCAGAGTCACAGAGCGAGCGTGCACCAAAGAGCACTGGACACAATACACAAAATGGGAGGTGTGGTGAAGAAACTACTGAACGAGCTAGATACCTTGAAGGTAATGGTGCCAGACATCTCTGTGCGGGTTATGAGAGAGCGAGCACAAGAACTGCGAGTGCCACTAACTGCATTCTTTAACCAGTCAGTGAAAAATAGGGCAGCTGCCTGATGTCCGGAAAACAGCAAATGTTGTCCCGATATTTAAAATAAAGGACAGATCAGTGTTACCGACATGTATAGTGTGCAGGGTTATGGTGAAGAATATCTGAAGAATAGTAGAGCACCTGAAAAGGAGTGGATTTACGGAGATTTACAGAGGGTATATCCTGTCTTTAAAATCAGTTAGAGTTCTATGACAAGGTATCGAAACTTAGGCAGGAGAGAGAGAGAGAGAGAGAGAGAGAGAGAGAGAGAGAGACAGACAGACAGACAGACAGACAGAGATAGGGACAGAGAGGGCTGAACTGTAAATTGTGTACTGTAAGGTGTTCAAGAGACCTGGACAATAGCTAGAGAAGCAGGCAGGACTAACAAGAACATTACAGTGTATCACGTAATACTCAACAGGAAGATAACAACGAGTTACTGTCTGTGAAGAGATGTCGGAATGGGCGAGTGTGACGAATGGGATTCCACAAGAGTCCGTACTTGGACCAGTACTGTTTCTTGGGCATGTAACAGATATGACACTAGGAATCGAGTCAGAGGTGTCCCTGTTCGCAGATGTAAAACTAATAAAATAATACAAACAGGAGGAGACCAGGAAAGACTTCAAATGGATCTGAACAAACTGTAAGATTAATCTAACAAATGGCTATTATAATTTAATCTCAGGAGCAAATGCAAAGTTATGAAAATGGAGGAACGGCAAAGAAAACAGGAAACAAAGTACAGGCTCATTGAACAAAGGCTGTAAACCTCCCTGAAAGAGAAGGACCTGAGGGTGAGAATAGTTCCAAGCATTTTACTCAGCTGCAAGCTAAAACCAAACATAAGTCACAAAGATTTTTTTTCAGCCTTAAAGTGGTCAGGAAGTGGAACGACATACATAACTTTAAGAATAGGTATGACAGGGCTCACGCAGCCAGGAGAGTGAACTCAGGGGCCTGCGGTGAGGTGGAGCCAGGAGCTGACACTCGACCTCTGCAACCACAAATAGGTGAGTGAACATAACACACACACACACAGCCAGGAGCTGTGACTCGACCCCCGCAACCACAACTAGGTGACAACTAGGTAAGTACACACATACCACACACACACATACACAACACACACAACAGATACACATAAACACAACTACAACACATTAACAAACATAACACTCCACAGAAGGCCTAGGAAATGTTAACTAACTCACCTCCAACACAAACCAACACTAATCACAAACACCACACACACACACAGACATGACACACATACAACAAACATGCACCACCACAGGATAAACACACATACGATATGCACACACACATACACACACACATAGTGACACACATACACATACACAACACACATACCACACATACACACACACATGTGCTAGACAAATTGGTAACTAACACACACACACACACACACACACACACACATCACACACCACACATGCACACACACATACACACACACACATCACACACACACATACACAACAACACACACACATCACTTCACAACAACATTGAACCTATCTACACTGCCCACACTTCAAAAACCACACTGTACATCTTAGTACATGTAGATACACACATACTACCCATCATTAACAGACATAACACCTTTACACAGCAGTAAAATACAAAATCAAATAACATAATACATCCGATACACCAAACCATACACCTTCAGGACAATTTACAACAAACACCTCACAGACAAACACACATACACATAATACCACACACATACACCTAAAACAATGAATACCGAGAACATAATACCTCACAGGTATATATTCCAGAACAATTTTACATCTATCAGGGTCTATATACCGAGAGACATACATCTCAGTGAATATACGAGAAACATTATCACCTCTCTGTAAGTACCGAGAGATACACCTTTTAATATATTACCGAGAAAAATACATCCATGTTCCGAGAAAATTGTATATTTAACCGAAGATAATCAGTGTAATATACGAAAATACCTCTCAGTGTATATATACCGAGAGACATACACCTCTCAGTGTATATATACCGAGAAACATACACCTCTCAGTGTATATATACCGAGAGACATACACCTCTCAGTGTATATATACCGAGAAACATACACCTCTCAGTGTATATTACCGAGAGACATAATCCTCATTGTATTATACCGAGAAACATACACCTTCAGTGTATATGTACCGAGAGACATACACCTCTCAGTGTATATATACCCAGAAACATACACCTCTCAGTGTATATATACCGAGAGACATACACCTCTCAGTGTATATATACCGAGAGACATACACCTCTCAGTGTATATATACCGAGAAACATACACCTCTCAGTGTATATATACCGAGAACATACACCTCTCAGTTTATATACCGAGAAACATACACCTCTCAGTGTATATATACCGAGAGAAACATACCACACTCTACAGTGTATATATACCGAGAACCATACACTCTCAGTGTATATTACCGAGATGACATACACCTCTCAGTGTTTATATTACCGAGTCATTTCGTTTGTACCGAGTGACCACTACTACCCTCATTGTATATATACCCAGAAACATTACTACCTTTAGTGTATTATGTACGGAGGACATTACCACCTCTAGGTGTATTATATACCCAGAAACATACACCTCTCAGTGGTATATGTACCCAGAGAGAATACACCTCTCAGTGTATATGTACCGAGAGACATATACTCCAGTCTTAGTATATTACCGAGAAACAACACTTCAGTTATATATACTGAGAAATTACACCTCAATGTTTAATATCCGAGAAAATTTACACCTCTCAACTGTATATATACGATTACTGTGTCGACCTGTTGACGAACTTCTCGACCTCGGAGAAGGGAAATAAGCACCTGCTTGTAATGGTAGATAACTTGACGCGGTACAGTGAATTAGTACCCATTCCTGATAAAACCGCCGAAACGGTCGCTAGTGCTTTCCGTGAGCATGTTGTTCTTCGTCATACTTGCCCACGTGTCCTTCTGTCAGACAATGGGTCTGAGTTTATAAATGGCATAATGCAGGATCTTTGCTCCAGATTCAACATTCACCAAGCGCCAGTAGCTCCACGCCACCCTGCGAGTAATGGTCTTGCTGAACGTACAAATCGCAAAGTCCTGGAGGTGCTCAGGGTAACCGTTAACCCAAGTTGTACTACATGGGATGAGGCTATCCCAGATGTTCAGTGTACATTAAATTCCTCCCTCAACAGCTCGATCGGTGAGACACCTCATTTTGCTTTGTATGGCTATGACAAGCGCTTACCATATGAAATTCTGTTTGCTCCACCTAGACCTACTTATGATACTGATAACCCCAGTGTAGTAAAGATGCGGACAACGCAGCTTGTCTTCCAGCGGGTACGAGAGAACCTTATGAAAGCTACTGATAGGTT